TCCATCCATCCATCCATCCATCCATCCATCCATCCATCCATCCATCCTCTTCTGCTTCAGGGTTGTGGGAGCAGCATCTTCACCAGGGAGGCACAGACATCAACAGCCACCTCTTCAACTCTTCTAGGACCCCATGGTGTTCACAGACCAACTGACTATTTATTAAGTAATATCCTGATGCTGCTCAATAATCCAGGTAGAAAAATCTAAAAAGTCAAGTCTGGTCCTCTGGACATTCACAAAACAAACAATACAGTTTATAATAAATAAACTAAATGTTTTTGTTTGTTTTGTTTTTTGAATGTCCAGAGGATCAGACTTAACTTTTTTAGATTAATAAGTAATAAATTTATGTTTTAATTTAATGAAAGACAAATCTTTAAAATTCAAGGACAAAATTTAATCTAATTGTTTTCAAGTCTGTAGCTTATTGTAAAAGCAGTTTCAAAGATGACAGCACAGTGTGATGCTTTGCAATTTTAACATGAACCTTGTGCATATCTGCAAATAATAAAAGTGAAGATATTTTTAATACATCTTTATTGTAAAAATCTATACTAAAATTAAAAACACATGGGTTTAAAGCAGGCAGGGAAGGCAGTAAGGTAGGATTATGAATCAGGTTTAAAAGTTACAGCTCATGAGGTACTCCATTAGAGCATGACATCTTTTCCACAACATCGTGTGACAAAGTCTTCAGGGTGTTCTTCTTCTAATACGTTTAGTGGTGGCTAGTAAGAAGCTTAAGGGAGCACTACCGCCACCAGGTGGTAAGACGAGTTGGATTCTAGTCCCTGCCTACAGAGCTGGTCCAGAAATGTACATGGAAACACAACAGACCCGAACCGATCTGAACCAACCCGAACTGATCTGATCCGCTCTGTGACAGTGGAAAAGGGGCATTAGAGAGATCAAGGTCGAGAGCTTCAAATCTTTTTGTAAAATATTCCAGAAACAGGAGCGGAGTAGGAGAAGGTCCTTTTGCCTAGTTCAGTCCACACTGAGGGGACACTGCAGGTAATAATGTCCTGAGAGTGCACGCTGTAGCTGCACTCACGCAGAAACATGTAGGAGAAGATGTATGAAGGCAGCAGACCAAGAAGTGAGTTAAAGATGAAAATGTATCAGTGAGAGAGTCTGCATGAAGTTAATGATGACCAGTTAACCAGTGAATACAGGGTGCAGTGGTGGGTACGAGAATCACAGCCAGTTATGAATCTTAGTGCACCATGACAGACAACATCCAACATTTGCAGGGTTCTTGTAGGAGCGTTCATGTAAATTCTTGTAGGAGCATTCATGTAAATAATGTCACCATAATCAATGGAGAGAAGGAAGGTCACAGATACAAGGCATTTCTTAGCATTCAGAGTTAGACAAGATCTGTTTCTGAAAAAGAAACCCAGTTTAACTTTCAGTTTCTTTACTAGGTTTTCCACATGGAGCTTAAAAGAGA